GGGTTAGGAGGAGTCGACATGACGAGGTGGACGATTCTAAGGTTATAGTTCCCGAGGAATATGGGAAGCCAGAGTCTTTCGCTCTTAAGAATGTTGTTCATGCCGCTGCCTTACAAGGAGTTATCTATGAGTATCTCAACAGAGGCGTTAGAGTTTATCTAGATGCTGATGGGACTCTCAAAGAGATGAAGCTCCAGGAGGGTGATGATGATGGTGAACTCGTGAGTAAGGCTAGGGCTGAAACAGAGTTGAAGAGGTTAGCTAAGAAGGCCGAAGAGGCTGAAGGATTGGGATTGTCCCGAGGGAACTTTTTGCCTCCGGGAGTCGAGCCATTGGGGTTGGTGGAGTACGACGAGGATGTCCAATTACCACCCAATGTCAACCCGGATATATCATCTGAGGAAGCGTCTATGGACTCTTCTGAGGAGGATGATATTGAAGAGAGAAGGATAGTCGATGTCTCCTTGCTTAGAGAACGCTTAGGCTTTGCTGAAGGGTTACGCTTTGGTAAATTTCTAAGAGTTAAGCCACCTAAGAATTCTGTTGTGATTACTGTTGGAGAAGATTATGTGGGGATGGCTATAGTTCTCGAGCGCGAGGAAGAAGGTTATGAAGATAAGGTTCTCCTTCAACCGATGAAGGTTGAGCTATTTAACGGTTGCATCACGGTTAAGAGGGTAGAGGATATTGATTTGGTTCACGCCGAATTAGATTCTCTTATTTATGTGAGCCCGGACAGTCGTCACTGGACTCGCAGAAGGAGTAAGGAGGTGTTGCAACTACTGGAAGACATCGACGGTTGGGGCCATGGCTCCATTATATAACTTACAATTACCGTATTGTAGCGACTATTGTTCTTTGACTATTGTTGTTATGGCTAACCCTGACTAATGTTTACTGCTTCTTATTGGACTATACGGCAGTAATGATGCTGCGGTATTAGTTATGATTATTGCACTCTATTGTCTTGGATCTAGACCACACTCTGTTATAGTGTGAGCTGTGAGGGTGGGACGGTTGATGAGACGTCAGTAGTGATAGCTATGTTGGACGCATGATGGTTCCTGTGCTGTGGAGAAGAAGCAGAGGATGATCTAGGCCTTAATCGAGGAATCCTAGATGCTCTTAGCGATACTATAGGCTCACCAGACTCTTGATAGACACTGCGTGTGATAACCATCCCAGACTCAGCGCGACAAGACTAACTTAGATTCAATTAGTTACAGATATACTCAGAGCGCTGACTAGCGTTACAGCAATAATAGCCGTAATAAGACTCTAATACTCAGT